CCCTACTCCCCTCTTGCTTTTTTCCCCCTGCTCTCTGTGCCCTGGAACACCTACACTTGTAATTGTTGGGCCCTCATCTCTGCAAAGGCTCCAGGTAGGCACAGGATAAAAACCTTCAGCACAAAAAGCATCAAAAAGAACATCAAGAACTTTGTAGGAAAGGCCCTGCTAGTGCACAGACAATTAATTTAACAGCTCCTAAAAGCAAAGCAAGGCATTTGTTGAGCTGTCTATCCAGTCACTTCCCTGACTTACCTTCCAGGAGGTCCAGGTACACCATGAACGCAGTGTAGATTTGAGTACTGTCAGATATATCAAGTGACATCATTTCTGTGAACTGAGACCCAAAAAAAGCAACATTGGTGAAGGAAAGCACAGGTTATATTAAGAACACACAGACCAAACCCAGAGTCTGTACCACCACCTGAGCCACCAAAGCTTGAACCCAGTGTTAAGGCCATCAAAAAGCAGGACTTGTTTTCTCTATCTTAAAACCTCCTTTTTCCACATCCCCCCTATTCTGGCACTTCAAAAAGCAAGCCAAATAAACAAACACACGAGGAATCCCATCTATTTCTGGAACAGCTCTAGCTTTGTGGAATTCTGCCTATTTTTGGGCAAATAATTTTACCTATTTTCACTGCAGTACATCAACATAAAACGACGGCCAAATTAAACACCTCCAGATGCTAAACACAGGGGCAATTTAGCCTAGATATCAGGAAGAAGTTTTCCCTGTGAGGGTGTTGAGACCCTGTCCCAGGTTGCCCAGGGAGGCTGTGGCTGCCCCAACCCTGGCAGTGTTCACAGCCAGGTTGGATGAGCCTTGAGCAACCTGCTCTGCTGGGAGGTGTCCCTGCCCAGGGCAGGGGTTGGGGCTGGGTGAGCTCTTAACTCCATTCCAACCCTTAAATTCTATGATTCTATTATCTCCTAGTGCCAGGCTTTGCAAGTCTAAAACTTCCCATAACATTCCCTCTTGTGTTGTGATACCAATCCTAAAATGGACCTCACTTGAAGAGCCATCCTTGCCCTTACAACCACTGTTGTACCAGGGGAGATCTAGGCTAGATATTAAGAAATATTTCTTCATACAAAAGGTTGTCAGGCCCTGGCACAGCTGCCCAGGGCAGTGGTGGAGTCACCAGCCCTGGAGGGATCTAAAAGGCCTGCAGATGTGGCACCTGGGGACACGGAGTAGCAGAGGGCTTGGTGGTGATTGGATTCAGTGATCATAGAGGGCTTCTCCAGCCTTAATGATTCTGTGGTTCTATGATGGGATGTTTGTCTCTCTGGGATGGCTCCAGGGATGAAAACCAGCACTTCAAAGCTGCTTGGACTGTACCAAACCCTCCTTGGGTGCTGCAGGTGAAGAGTGGCAGTAGCAGACAAGGATTTTATCCATTGTTCCACTCTGCTTTTTCTGTTGGATTTGTTCAGTTTTGGGTCTTCTCCTCTGCACTTTTGCTAGAATCATAGTATCACAGCATGGTTTGGGTTGGGAGGGACTTTAATGATTGTCTTGTTCCATCCCTGCCACGGGCAGGGATATCTTCCACTAACCAAGGTTGCTTAATGATTCTGTTGGGGTTGGATGATGTCTAAACTTCATCCCAACCCCTAGAATTCTATGGTGCAATGAGGATGGGAGTCAAAAGTTTACAGCACTTGCATTTTCCAGACAGGATCCCAACACCTACAACCTAACAGGGACATTCCCCAACCACCCCACAGAGACAACACACCCCACCTAACCAACACCACACTGACACCAACACTATACATAACCACCGGGATGGGCCCCAAAGGGATGTGGGAGCATCCTGCCGGGGGTCGGCAGGGACAGGGGACTCCCCGAGGGATGGAACTTACCGTGGGGTGCGTCGTGATCCAGTTGCTGCCAGCGACCCCAGCCCAGCTGCCCTGCGCCCCCCGGGCAGGGATGGAGGAGACTTCTCCCGGGATGGAGGAGCTGAGTGCCGGGATGGAGGAGCCCGGGATGGAGGAGC